CCCGGGGGGGCGCAGGCGCCCGCGCCAGCTCCCGCCAGCGAGCTCCCGCAGACGAAGGTGTGGCTCCATCCAGTGAAAACTAGCCCTGTAGCACCTGAACGAGCACTTCAACGACAGCAGCCGCGGACCGGCGTGAAGCAGAACGCCGGGCGGCACCGGCAACCACGGACCAACGCCCCGGTTAGAGCGCAGCCAGCTCGCAGCTCGCCGCAGGGCCGAGGAAGCGGGGAAGCGACTCCCAGATCCTCCTGCTTGGTCTACGACGAGGCCCCGGCTTGGTGTCCGCACGTCAGCTGTGCGTCCCTCAGTAGCCTTTGAGTATCTCGGGACCTAACAGCAGGACACGTTACACTGACAGTGAGGCAATAAACCGTAACACCCTTAGTTCGTGTTGCATCGTTTTTGGAAGCAGGTTACTGTGGTCTTCATCAGCACTCGGCGCTGGGGTACTGCACGTCCTTGAATTCCACCAGAAGCAGCCTGTTTTCCCTAGCATCAGGCAAATAATAAAAACAGTACAGCAAAATCAAGATCATAATTGTGCTATTGTACAGAATAGGTTTGAAATGATTAATTCACAAAATAGGTACAGCAGATTGTAGTAGTCACTTCCATTTTTCCAGCCCACGGACTGAACAGGAAACAGCTTGAAAGTAGCTAAGACCATTTCCTAAGAGGGTCACAGTTCAGCAACACAGCTAGGAGGAGTATACAAACTGAACAAATCTGAAAGTCTCATTCGGGTAAGACAGTGTTTTGTCACCCCTTTACATCACGGCTATACGTACTTCACCTTTGTGCCTCCCCTTTGTGAAAAAATAACCCATTGAGAACAGGTCATTTTAACACTTACTGAAATTGCTCCGCACGCTTCAAACGCTTTTTTTGTCTAATTTGATCAACCCTTTTTTTAAAGCTAGGCTCAAGCCTCTTAGTTACATTAGTCTAAATTGTGTGACTTATATGCTCTGAAATAAACGGGACGCTATGCACTAGTTTGCCCCTTTTGCGATACTGATCAGATTTGGCTTAAACCACACACATATTTCATACTTCTCAGGTGAACATGTCTGCATGCAAGAGCATGTGACCTGAGCACTGCACTAAGCCACCAAGGGGAGACTCGGGTTCACAGAGGTCTGAATAAAGCAGCATGGTGCAAGCCTGCTCCACCTGCCCCTCCAAACTCACAGCATCTGCAGCACACAGACAGCACAACCTTTTTTTTTTTTTTTTTATTTCTTTGGTGTCCTTAAAAACCAAATACAAGTACTTTGATAACATGCACTATAGTACAAGAGACACACAAGCACCAGAAGCTGTGATGCCTTCTGGGGCTGCAGGAAAAAGTGAGAGGTGTTGCCTAGTTTGTGGGGTGAAGGGGTACTCGGGACTGGATTACACACGGTGCATCAGTCTGAATTTAAAAGCAAACACATGCACCACAATTTCCAAGTGTACAGACAAAGAATCTGCCACTGAGGCAGTTACAGTAATGTCATTTGTAAGGTAACAGATGTCATTATGTCTGCTTAGTCCTGCTTTTACTAAAGGGTAATACTTCAGTAACAAGTTCAATGAATTACTGTAGATAGAAA